TGAGATTGCCATGCAGTGCTTGAGCTCTGAAACAGTGACAGGCGAGAATCATGCTGCGCTGCCATTGTGCACTTGGGCTTGAAAGGCCCATCTTGTTCTATATTTATTTCACCCACAGATACGTAGTTGGAGTAGAAACACTTTGTTTGATTGGTTCAGTGTCATTTGATGGTTTGCAAAATGGCTGTCATGTAAAATGCTTTTAAAACTATTTCCGGTTAGGCAAATTAAAGCGAAATAAATAGCTGCCCAATAATCTTTTTGTTTCCACAGTTGTATGATAGATCAAGTTAATTTTATTTTATTTTTACTCTCAGGAGATGAAATGTGATAGTTACAGAAGTAGCCTTTCACCCTCAAAGGAATAGTGGCCAGACGGAACTAGTTAGTAATTTAGTCTTCATTCAGTGGCTACGTCTTCTACTGCTGTCATCAAGTATCATGTAACAATTATGCTATTCTGGTGGATATAAACATTGCAAATCCCATTTGATGGTATATTGAAAGTGAACTGAAAGCTACTTATGTTCATATCATGTCCTACCCTTGCACCATGTAGCATTTTAATTTCCCAGCTATAAACTTAAAGCATTTTCAAAAGAAAACAAACCCAGCTTCATTACGTTAAAATTCTGAGCAATAACTTTTAAAATGTGAGTCTTAAACACTCTGAAAAATGAAGAAACAAGCCTTTTGTGTCCAGTTTTGAGTATCTTTTACATTGTTTACTATTTTAAAGTTTTTAAAAAGAAAAATCTTGGACTCCAGCTATCGTCTCCCCAAGCAACTTATAAACAATCAGTGAAATCTAAAAGATAGGACTCAAAAGGAAAATGGGATGAACAAGTTAGAAGAAAAAGGAAAATGCAGGCCCCAAGTCTTGAAGTGAAATTGTCATGTTGGAAAAGACAAGATACAATCCTAAAATCCCAAAGGTGCAAGTCACCATCATGCTGCTTAATGTTGGGTTGCATTAAGAAGCCATTGTTGTGTGATGGAAACATACAGCTGCCCGTTCACAGTCAGTCACTCCTTTCTTTGTCTACCTCCTCCTGTCACTTTCTAGCAGGGATTCATGAGAAACTTATTTTGGTTTGAGCAGGTTTTACACCTTCTGGACCGAATACAGATTGAGACACAAAGCCCATTTCTAATCTTCATGGATCACCAAATATGTATTTAACAGCAGGCATGTGTTTGAAAAATTACATGAAAATACATGACTTTGAAAAATGCATACAATATACATGACTCTATGAAAGTTAAATGTATACAATTGATGATGCACTTGGAAAAATATGCATGAAAATATGTATGGATTTTCATGTGAAAAGAAAAAAACAAAGCAATGCTGTTGGCTGATCAAGCACTGCATTGCCTACACTGACTGGCTGCGGTTGTCCAGCAATCCCAGACTAATTGTTCCAAACCTTACCTGGAGATGCATCCTGGGGTGTAAAGGATGTGCCATACCACTGAGCTACAGCCCTCAGGACGGTGATTGTCACACAGTTTTTATAACTGTGTTTCTATTACCCAAGTTGGTCAAAGGGCTAAGAGACTCGATGTAGACTTACCAAGCCCTGGCATGCTGGGAACATGATGTGTACATTTTCTTGACACAATTTTCTTCTCTCTTCCAAATAAATATTGGGTATTACTTCTTTTCTTCTTTCAGTGGGATGATCATTCATTCATTCATTATTTCTAATTGTTCACCAAATTAAAAACCGCAGTATTTCAAAGTTTGAAAGTATCCCTTTAGGAAAAGTAGCTTGTTTACTCATAAAGAGCCAGCCACCTTCACAGAATGGAAATTTTCACAGGCATGTGTGCCATTGCAGGAGCTCTGCATAAGGTCCAGCTCTTTATAATAGAATGTTCAGAGCTACCCCTTTTGAAGAGGCTTGGACAATGTCCATTTGCCAGTGTTATTTTTTCCCCTCAATTGGGGTAGTACTTTTTGTCCACCACTTCCCTTCCTGCCTAAAAAAGGAGCATACTCAGATTGCTTCCCATTCTGGTTTACATGTAACAATAATCCAGAGTATTGGTTGTCATTGAACTGTGGTTGATGTTACATGTGAACCCTGCATTATGTTCTTAATTATGGGTTGTTACCCACTAACAAGCCAGGAAGAGAGCCCAAGGTTTGTTATTAGGTTATGAACTCTGGGTAGTCTGTGGTTAGCTAGATTTGTGATGGAGCTCTGTGGGATCTGACCTTCTAGCATTCACAGGCTTCCTTTCATGCTTAGCCAAGCCAAGTGGAAATCCACAAACACTCATGGAATAAAGGCTACACAATTGCAACCTCCTTCTGCATCATGTGCCACATTAAACACACCACAAATGCTGCTTCAAAAGAGGGACACTGCTTGTGCAGTGATTGTGCAGGAACGGATCCCTGGCAAATGTCCAGGCAATTCAATGAATGGCTACCCCCAAACAGATCCTTCACACATCCCTGTGGTTGTTGTTAGTCGTGAAGTCATGTTATCCCTGTGGTTAATAACCCATAATTAAACCACAGTGCAGGGGCTGTGCATGTAATGACAGCCCGTGATTTGTTGACAACCCATATTCTCGGCTGGGGTTAAACAGGTCGCTGTCTTGCACTCTTTACAAAATCCCTACACGGTGAATTAGTACTATTATCCCCAGAGTACAGATCTGGGGCTGGGAAAGAATGGCTTGCCATGTGGTGAGTCCATGGTAGAAGTGAGATTTGATCAGTATATTGCTTGACTCATGCCTGAGCCACTGCATGGTATGACCTCTGGGTGATTGTATGGAACATTGCTGCAGCATCCCTTTCCTGTTCCAAAGTAATATAGAGCTGGCACCTGTCAACCTTAACAGACCCACCGCTCCTCTACAATTGGTCTTCTAACAGCTGTTTCTCACATCAAGCGGCATCAAATCCAGCTGTGCCCCATACACGTGGTAAAGCGGTGGAGCCAATGTCAGTCTGTCGACCAGGACTTCAAGTGTTACCTGCTTGCAAACATGCATTTGTTACATTCACTTTTTTGGTTTTGGATAAATGGCAGTAAAATGATCCTAAGCTCTGGCTTCTTTTTAGTTCTGGCGTACATGACCTTACTATGTCCATGGAAAGGCCACACTTTGAAGCAAGGACTGGGATGCTGCTTGAGAATTCCAGTAGGGATGAATGGATCACTCTGGTTTCTAGTCCATGTCAGCCAAGTCAACTTACAAGTATTGATGTATAACCTATTCTAGCCTGGTTTTGCATTGATCAGAGAGAGAGAGGGAGAGAAACAAGCATGTATTTCTTGCAAAATTTATACATTATATCCTACAATACATATTATACACATTTTGGTACATTCTGGGGCACACAATATCACAGAATTCAGAGACTAGTGAGGAAACAAATGGCAGCCACATTCTGATTCACGTATCGGCTCGGGAATTATGAATTAGGTTGACTCAATTGCCAGTGCAGACCAAATGAAATCATCCAGCACCTCAAGTGTTAGTGCTATGCAAGCTTTATTTTGTTGGCCTGGCAGCTCATCAGGGTTACGGCAAGAGCAGGCAGGGCCAGCAGAGGAGTGTGATCTAAAACAAAAGAGCTATGGTATTCTGAGCTGCAATGCTTTGATCCATTACTACAAAAATGACATGTTTTGCTTTGTCTTAATAAATAAATCAGTGTCGTGAAGGTTCTGTCCAGATGGCAGCACTGTTTTTGCTCCTTCGCTATGGCATCACAAGCTTACTTAATGTTTTTATAAACACACTGACATCTTCAAAAGATTTTGGTGCTTTGGCCAATGAACCACGTTGCTGTTGTTTTTACGGTTTGTGTGGGGGAGATTGTGCCAGAGGTTTTGTCTGAGCTAATGGTTCTCATTCCGCGATGTCCTGAAATGACAATCAGATGGTCCCCAGACAGCTGGACCTCCTAAGCAAAGGCTCCTTCCGAAGCTTCGCCTGTGCTTCTCTGGGTCGCAAGGCAGACTACCAACTTCAGCAGCGTGAGAGATGCTGCAAACATACTGGAGGACTGCAGTTAATTTACATATTTTAGCTTCACGTAATTAACATCATTGGCCTAGCATTTGGGTGCAGTCTGTGGATGCCAAAACAGAGCCAAGAGATACACTACATCTGTCATGTTCTTATTCCAGCATTGCTGATCTCAAAGTGTGGAAAATCTGAGCAGATTGGAGAATTGTGGAGGTTGGGTGTGTGTGGGAATGATGCCTTTGGATTTTCAGCATGTGTCTTTTGATTTCTAAGGTTTTGTGGCCCACTTCCAGTTGATGGTCAAGGCACTCTGCAGAACCATTCTGGATAGAAGCATAGATTCCCTTATGGAATGGCTGGGATGGAGAACGCCTAACCCATGGACTGGCATTGATCTGCAGAACCTCTCTGCTTGGTCCATGGCCTGCTATCCTTCCCTGCTCTGCAACAATCAGGCTTTTTAAAAGCCTTGATTCCTGACAGTGAGGCCTTCTAAAAATCCAGATTGATGCTCAGGCAGCATTTTTGGAGCATGCTGCTGGCAAGGGAAGAGCTAACCCTAACTACCCTTCCAGGGCATTATGGTTGTGTCATGCGAATACAATCAATGTTTGTTTAATCAGAAAAGAATCAGAAGTCAACTTTTAAAAATAAATTGCAAAAGATAATTTCCTGCATCATTACACATTTCAGTTCCTATTGTGATAAAGACACCATGCAGCAAAGAACAGCTTACCCACCGTGTGGCACAATATTTCTACATACTAAAAGCTGTGTCCAAGTCTTGTTCTGACCCTTGAGGCGGCAACGTTGTGGAGTCCTGCCCTGTTGACAGCCAGGAGTGTCAGATGGCTCTCCCCAAGGCGATGAACTCTGAAGCAGCTCCGGAGGACCCCTGCTGGTGTCATGCCTGCACTTTTCTCTCCTGATGCTGTGTTTGGAAAGTTGACTGTGGACTTTTTAAATGACGTGACATCTCGTGTGTGTCTCTGTGTACGCAGGTGTCCAGGAGGCAATAGTGGCTTGCTTGAATAAACAGACCAGAGAATTTGCAGATGAGAATTTGTGTGTGAGCAGCCGGCGTCCACCACCGTTGCTGAAAAGCTGCAGCCTGGAACCTTGTCCCCCAAGGTAGGCAGCTCTTTGCTCTTTGCTTTGGTTAGGCTGGACCATCTCCTATATGGAAGAAGAATGGTTATCCTTGAATGTCTTTAGACAAGATTTGCGCTATCCCAAACTGTATTTGAAGGCCAGAGGATCTAGCAAAATTGGAACCAAGTAAGTTGCTGGCAAGTATCAGGAATAAATGCAGGGTTTTTTTCCTATCCACATTAATATATTCAAGGTTATTCTCGGGGTTGGATATATATAAAATACATACGTATATATGTAATATATGTAAAATATCAGAGGCTTACAAGACTTGTGCCTTCTGAGGGATGACTGCGGTTGCTCAGACTGCCTGAGGCGTGGGCCAATAGACTGGGGGCAGGAGAAGGCGTGAGGCCTGCAGCAAGGAGGTAAAAGAAGACTAATTTTGACTCATGCTTTGCTCTGCTGTGTAATAGAATTTGTAAGACTTCTGTATACTAATGGCTATAGAAAGCAGAGCATAAGAACATAACACAAACTATTCTTAAACATGCTTTGCAGCTTTTTTCTGAACCTTACTGAGGGCTCTTTGAATTTATGTAGTATTAAAACTCCAAAACTCCTGATCACAGTATAATACTACTGTGGCATATTCAAAACTGAAACAGCAAATGCCTAGCATTGTTTGCTCATGTTTGTTCCATCGGGGGAAGCTCCATATGGAGAAGAATTGAAATACTTCACTGAACAAACATTAGCTGAAGATTTAAGTGACTTCCGCAGAAAAAGCTGAACTTGTCTTTGTTAATAGGATCCAAAGTGTAGTGACCACTTAGGGTAGTAGGAAAAAATTGATAATGCAATGGGAGGAATTTATTGAACAGAAAATTATCAATATCTTCCAAGCAGGAAACATTGTTCCTTCTCTGCCACTAACCTACATTGCACCCTGTGCTAAGAATCGTGACATGTTTTGTTTGGGCTTTTATGGCGTTAAACTGGTAGGCATGGTCATTTTTTAATTATTTTTACCTTGGTTGCATTTTTGTTGGTGTTCTTTGGAAATTAGGGATTCCGATCATGGCATCTAAGAGGCCCACTCAATAAAGCATGTTTATGAAGTGAAATCTCTGTCATTTTAAAACATGTGTATTCTGTAGGAAGCAGTGTAAATGCCTCCTTATGGCAGGGCTTCACCAGCAGAATTCTCCAGGAACAATTTTGAGTAAAGCTTGGTGGATTTTGTTTTGTTCTTTAAATACCCCTAATGTTGAGTGTGATTCAGAAAGGAGTACCATGACTGGTTAAGAGCTCCTTTATATTCAGATCCGTCCACATAGCTAGCCCTATCATTGGGCAGAGTGAAGAGGCCACCTCAGGACTCATTCCGAGGATCTTGAAAAGGTAGCAAATATAATTGTAATTGTTCTATTCTGGTAGGGTCAAGTATTTTAGAATCTTCAAAGTCTTTGCCCCTCAGCACTTGCTCCTGTTCCTCCTGCTCAGAACCTGACAATGACTCCCATTGCACAGTCTCTGGTGTGCAAGAATCTGGCCCACTCTATACTCTACATCGGGGTCCTCAAACTTTTTCAGCAGGGGCCAGTTGGAAAGTGCTGGTGCTAATCATGGGCCGGAAAAAAGATGGGTTGCAATTTGTTAAGAACAAAGTAAACCTAGCAATAAATTGTGCTATTTGTGTAAATTTACTCTATTTGCACAAAACCTGTGATTTGTACAAACCGGAAGTTGGAAACTACTGTCACGATTTGCATCATTTTCAGCTTGCAATTCATGCAGATTTTCTTAGTGTTTTATAAAATATGCAAATTTCAGCACATCATGAAGACAGAAGTCTACAAACTGGCTCAGCTCGCACAATAGCAAGTTGGTGTCAGCTAACAAACTAAAAGCAGGTGTGTGGGAGGGAATCATGAAATATGTCCAATTCCCCCCCCCCCCACCCGCCACAGATTCTTTACACAACCCGGTTCCCACTAGGGAGTAAATATGCCACAGCAACAAATGTTATCAAGTCCATTGTTTGCTTTTAGAAGTCATGGTAAATTAGCGGGTGTGTACTGCCATATCATGTGGGGAAGCACATCTGAAAGCAACAAATCACAGTTTTCCAAGGCTTCTGGGCAGTTGTTTTATATATCCCCATATTTCTGATACAGAGATGTAAAGAAGAATAGAAACACCTTTAATGTTCTGTGTGAAGTAATCCGCACACGAACAGCTCACACATTCATTTGGTAAACTAGCTTCTAGAAATTTGCTGGATATGCAGGTGAGGCTTGCATCTGACTATAAACGGAATATCCTTCAGCCAGACCAGTGTGTAACCATAAGAACACACAAGAAATGCACCATCAGGGGTACAGCACACGCTCATAGCTTCTCAGTACTAGAAATGTATCAATAAATCCTTAAGGCCATTAGATTACCAGCTGCATTCAAGGAATGCAGGAAAGCTGCCTTGAAAGACAAGTTGTTCACCTCTGCTTTTCCACATAATGTGCCACAGGCAAGTACTGATGTCTTTTAGGTCATACTCTCCCAAAAGCCTACTGAGTGCTGTACATAATTTGAGTATGCACCTTTGTACATTCTCTGCAGTTCTTTACAGTGCATTCAAAGGTCCCTTGGCAGATGAATCAGTGTGGCAGGGATTTCCTGCAATTGGAAAGTTTGAGAACCACTGAACTAGTGCAATCCTCTCCCGAGACAGGAATATTCTCTTTCTTAAAACATAAGCTACAATGAAGCTTTAGCAATTTTCTGCTTCACTAAAGATGCATTTTTAAGGATAGGTGACATATAATTCTGCTTGTCATTGCTTCGATTTTAAAGCATTGTTACGGGATAGTTGCTGTAATAAGGTTACACTAGGGCAACTGGCCATTGGATTTTTAAAATATAAATGCATTTTCTGACATAAATGCTTACAGTAATGCCTTGATTTTAAAAAAAATCCCGATAAGAACAGCAGCAGCAGCAACAAAAATGCCCCTTCTAATGGGTTGCCAAATCAATATGTCAAATGTACGTCGTGCTTCAGATGTGGCATCATGCCTGTACAACTTAAGTGGAGAATGTCGTCTTTTGAAAAATGGGATGCCGATTATTCTGGTGTGTCATGTTCTGTAAGAAGCAATCATGTACTAGCAATCATGCAACTTCCGCAGGGGGCAGTTATCATATGCACTATACATTATTAATAACTGCAATGGTGTGAGTGGACTTTAGTAACCTGGAAACCACTAGAGAAGCATGAAGGGGTTGCCATGGTGGATATTATGAATTATAATTTTATATATTTTCTACTGCTTGATTAGCATGTGTTTAGAAGCATGTGATCAGCATGTGTTTGGGGGGGACGTAGGAGGAGCAAGAGGGACGAGGAGGAGCCTACAATGATGAATGAAAATGAAGGAAATTCCAGTCAGTTTCTGCAGCTTTGTTCTTAACATGCTTTCAAAGCTAAGTTTACTCTTGTACAATTAGCTGAATGGTGGGAAAAAGACACACATTGGGGAAAGAACTCACAAAGTTTCAGGAATAGCCAAAAAAATAATCCCCTCTTTATACAGTGATTTCTCATAATATCTCAAAATGTTATGGCTCTTCTGAGAACAGGGGGAAAGAAGCAGGAACTTGATGGTTCCAGGACAAGACTGATGACATCTCAGATCTCCAGCAAGGTTAATTCCATTGCAGTAAGCACCTGACCTCTTCCATTTTAAGATTGATTTTTGTCAGAGTACATCCATTTCTGTTCTTATGCAAGAGCTTTGTTGCTTATGTCTGCTTGATACAATTTTGGTCCTTTCTCTCTTTTCCACAAGAGAAATTCATCTACACAGTTACATTTAATCATTAACATTACATACCACAACAGTTAGCCAATCTACATAGAATATTATACATTAATGTGAGGGATTGAGAAGTGATAGGCAGTTTCAGTACTTCTCAGTTCCTCATTTTTCCAGTCTTAAGTTTCATCCTGAACATTGACAAAATGTTTGCATGAAATTCAAACACATTTTCTGCCATTTCTTTTAACATGCATTTTGTAGTCAATTTTACCTTTTTCATGGATATCTTTTCTTAATCAACAAATTCTTTACACATTTTTTTGGTTTGGGGAAAAGTCATGATCGTGTGAATTTTAAAGGAAACTGAATTTTGATTGCATAGTAATTCAGAAGTGTAGTTAAGTTTGCCTTAAAATATGACCCAGATTAATATCTTCCATACACCTAGTTGGAGAAGGAAACTTTTTGGGATGTAAGCCTTTCCCCATGGACCCTTTTTTAAAAGTGAGGATACTGTAGAATCATTTGTGTCTTAAAATATCTTAGAAGTGACATAGGTAAAGCAACCTCCTCCTCTGATTCCTAGAGAAAGCTATTTTTTCTAGAAAGTACACCTCTGTTACCACACACACACTTTTCACACATCTTTAGACTGGTTTCTTTCAAATGCTACATTATCTTCTGCCTTGAGATTGTTGAGGGATGGATAAATATGCCACAAGTAGAGAACATTGGCCTGCCTCTGAAATGGTGGGTGGCTACTGAATGCCATTTTTCAGTAGAGGAAATGCAAAAGAGAATTTGCATTTCTCTTCTTCTTGCTATTTATGCAGGGATATCACAGAAGAAAAGCAGACTGTACATTTTTGATAATGCAAATATCATATTTCCATCATAAGCCAATTTAAGGACAAAAAACCTCATGTGTAGGAGTGCACTAGAACCCAAATCCTGAAATCTTTTAAAATATATATATCATCCTCATCCCCCACCCCCAATCTTCCTTGCCCTAGAATCTTGCAGGGCAAACTACACATTACATGGGCTAGCCCGAGACCATTTGCTACCAAAGATGAAAGACAAGATAGTGCCCTGTCTCATTCCAATCAAAAGCCGACTAGACTGGCAGTTGAATCTTGGTTCAGTGCTGGAGATGGAATGGTATCCTCTACCACACCTGAGGCAACAGGCCAGTTTAGGTGTTGCAAACATGTTGTT